TATCTCATATTATTCTTACAAAAAGTAATTTAATATACATGTAACATTTTAAATTAAATGTTTAAATAGGTTTTATTTTCTAAAACACATCTAACATATTTTCCTTTATTTGATATCCTCAACCCACCCCACTGTATGTTCAAGATATATTACAAAGAAAAAACATGTCATTCTCGGGCACCTAATCATGACAATAAATTATACAAGTAATGCTAAAAGGTTTTTTTTCTGGCTAGTGCTTATGGCTGATACAGAACCAAAGGTTGTAGATAGGAACTACTACCACTTTATAAACTTCAAGTTCTTCAATATTAAGAGCACCATTCAGGAAAATATATGGCCATCAAGTATGCAATTAAAGTGAACCAAAGATAAAGTCTCCTAATCCACTAGGAATGCTGAAAATTGAGGGTGCTGACATACTGGTATCTAACACCAATTTAGAAATTCCTAATTCCTTAATGCAGAGAATCAGTGCCCAACAGAAATGCAATAAAATGATAGCTATCATTACCATGTTTCAATGACTTAAGATATCATCAACTGTAAGTATGCATCAGTATCCTAAGTAATATTAAGAAAAAAATGCAGCCAATTATAATTGTAAGATGCCCTTGATCATAGACTCAGTAACATTAAAATGTAAAAGAAAATGCATCTAAAATGAAATAATAGTTTTATTCCTGCATGTAGGGTTTGAGAACTTAAAGATTCCCACCCTTCGTCCATTTCTTTGAGACTCTTTTGTCAAGGCTAGAGAAAGAAGGGAAGTTCTCCCTTCATTTATAAAACTTTGTTTTGTAATGACATCTAAGAATAAAAAGTACTAGTTTTAAATAAGCAAATTTAACACCAATGATATCTCTAGAAGAAGTGGTTTGGGTACCATACAGGATTACAGTATTTAACAACGATAGTCTTTTTAAAAAAATTATTTATATATTTGAGAAAGAGTGAGAGAGCATTAGAGAGGCAGACCAAGCCCAAGTGGGGGGGTCAGAGGGAGGGGGAGAAGCAGGTAGGGGGGCTATATCTCAGGACCCCACCTGAGATCATGACCTGAGTAGAAGGCAGATGCTTAACTGACTGAGCCATCCAAGTGCCGGATACTTCTCTTTAATTCATTTTCTTTCTTATTTAAATTCAATTTGCCAACATACAGTAATAACACCCAGTGCTCATGCCATCAAGTGCCCTTCTTAGTGCCAATCACCCAGTTACCCCATCCCCCCACCTACCTCCCCTTCCACATCCTTGTTTCCTAGTTAGGAGACTCTCATGGTTGGTCTCTAATTTTTCCCACTTAGTTACCCTCCTTTCCCTTATAATCTCTTTCACTATTTCTTATATTCCAAGTATTAGTGAAACCACATGATGATTATCCTTCTCCAATTGACTTATTTCACTCAGCATAATACCCTCCAGTTCCATCCATGTCAAAGCAAATGGTGGGTATTCATCTCTTCTGATAGCTGAGTAATATTCCACTCATGTGAGTAATACACCACATCTTCTTTATAATTAATTCCATGAGAGGCAGAGAACTTTTCATTTTTTATTAACAAGGGCCTAAATTTTTGTTTTATTTTGTAGACTCTAGTAATTCAACCTACTAAATTCCATGGGATAAAAACTAGCATCCACCAAAATCCCAATAAAGCAAAAGGAAAAATAAATACTGCCAACCTTTGGAAATCATGTAAAGGTTTAAGTGGCCCTGCTATCCTAGTCCTAGGAATGGAGAATTCATGTGATTACAAAATAGCTGGTCTTTTTAGACTGCAATTAAAAAAAAAAAAAAGAATACTTACATTACTAAACATCTAAAATGAAAAAGTGAAAAAAGTCTGAAATATGCCATTTCAAAAAGTTCAGTTAAAATAAATTTGTATCATTTTTTTATGAAAAAAATCTTGTAAGCAGCAAATTCCTAGTGAAATTGGTTCCCAGGTTTCAAGATGAGATTCTTGAATGTAAACCATTTTCCACCACAAAACCATAACCCTTGATATTCCCTCTCAACAAATATATAAGGTTCTTTTAATTGTTTTCGTCATAAAATCTTAAAGTAAGTTTATATAAAAAAAATGAGAATAAACACAAATATATACTCTAGGGCAAGTGGCTATTGTTAATCTTCTCAAGCAAACTCATCTTGTGAAATCAAAACTTCAAAAGCTCTAGTGAGATATAACTGCTTATATTTGTAAACATCATTTATTCATTATCTCCTTCTAACACTTAAGAGGGAAGTAATAGCTAATATGAATGAAAAATCTAAATCTAAGTGGAAGTCAGCACCTCGTTGCAACAGTTCTAATTTTCTTTAACAGGGCAGTGGTGGAAACACAAGATCAGAAGAGTATATAAATGTTTTCAAAGGTTTATTCAACACTGTGGTCAGTGTTTATTACTGTTTCTTTCAAACACAATAAAGTGATTTTTCCCCTTTTGTCTTTAAAATTTTTAATGGCAAAAAGAAAATGCCTTGCCCCAAGTATGTTTAATGATTCTAAGTCAGTGAACAAAAATGTGCGATTAGAAGGCAAACACTGGGGATGCCTGGGTGGCTCAGTGGTTGAGCATCTACCTTTGGCTCAGGTCTACCTTCGGCTCAGGGAGTGATGCCAGGGTCTGGGGATTGAGTTCCTCACTGTGCTCCCCACGGACAGCCTGCTTCTCCCTCTGCCTCTCTCATGAATAAATAAATGAAATTTTATAAAGGGGGGAGGAGCTAACACTGATGCTGCTTAAAATGTTATTTGTAGTAAGCAGGTTACATTTGTTTTTAGACCAAAAAAAAAAAAAATCTAAATTATGAGGAACTTTAAAATATGAGAAACCTGTACAACCCCTCCCCCCCCAAGTCATTTGTATTTATACCCATCCTCCTTGCCAGTGATTTGACTATGGCAGACTGAAGTATTTTTTTAATGCTTCACAAACATAAGGACAGATAAATTATATTTTTTGAGTCAGACATAATTATAACACTGAATTGAGAGATGAGCCCCTTATTTTCTAGAGAAGATTTTGTAGGTGATTGCTAGGTAATTTCCCAGGGAGGGTTCACTTGGGCATACATGACTATTTCTGTACATGTAACACCGCTATTTTTATAGAGATAAAGGAAGAGAACACTCTAAAACACAAATAAGAACATAATGAGCTATAGCTTACCATTGTGGTATAAAATAGGGGTCCAGAAAGAAGAGAAAACTTATGTGCGTTGATGAAGAGGGGTGAAAACCATGTCTTTAATATAAATCTTTATGGTGCTAAAAAAGCAAAAACAATAAAACCCCCACATTAACATAAACCTATTAAGAAAAATCAGATTATTTCATTATTAAGGAAAATGACCTGAGAAATAGAAATTTATGAACGCTTTTTTAAATAATCAGCAACAATAAAAATCACCTATCACAATCTTTCCAATTGTTGAAAAGTACAGCTTTAACTAGATAGAGTAAAATAAAGTTTGCATTACTCGTTTTCTTCAAAATATTTAACATCCAGGACAGAAAAGAATAAATGCTTTCAAATTTCTCTCCTTCACCACTGTTGCTGTTCTCATTGTGCCTCTTGGATTATTGTAATAATCTATCCACTAACCTTCATCACTATACAGTTCACTTTACAAATCATGCATTTTATCATACCTGCAGATAAAAATCCTTTCAAGATATTCCCCCAAACATCCCAAGCTCCATTTTGCAGATACAGTTCCAGCCCCTCCAGCACTTGCCCTCCTCAAGCAAACTGGATACACTGAACAATCTCATTCCTCTAACACATGGGTTCTCACCCTGGCAGCACAACAGAATAACCTGAGGAGCTTTAAAAAGTGGCACACTCAGGTAGCCCCGGTGGCTTAGTGGTTTAGCGCCGCTGTCAGCCCGGGGTGTGATCCTGGAGACCCGGGATCGAGTGCCACGTTGGGTTACCTGCATGGAGTCTGCTTCTCCCTTCCGCCTGTGTCTCTGCCTCTCTTTCTCTCTGTGTCTCTCATGAATAAATAAAATCTTTAAAAATATTAAAAAAAAAAAAGTGGCACACTCATGCCCTATTTTCTGATCAACTGGTCTGGAGTAGGGCTTAGGGATCAGCATTTTTTGAATCTCCTCCAGGGGATTCAAAGGCTAACTCCCTCTAACTTGTATGTCTCCACAACTGAGCTATAAAAAGCACTTCCTCAAGGGACAGAAAACAGTATTTTCCATGTGAAATTGTTTTGGCTTTTTAGGGGCCCCCCAAAGCTTAGGTTTTGCCAGTTTGGGTTTAAGAGACAAACAAAAAATGACAGGCACCATACAAGTTCCAGGAATAATAATTTAAAAAGTGAGTAAGACATTAATCCTACCTTTCAACAGTTTGTGGATTTATTAGGAGTTTAAGTTAAGGTGAAAATTCCTGATCACTGAATCTAAAGATGAAGGTAAACCAGGTAAGAGGCAAAATGTCATGACTTTAAAATTAAATCTGTCACTAATTTGGGGGAGACAGAAAGAGGAAGGAAGGCTTAGCAACTTTAAATATTACATACAAAAACCATTAACTACGTATACAACTTACAAACCAAACTTTATGACTTTACATAGGAGTGAAAACACTGTAATTACCGTCTCCATTTTACAAACTGAGGCACTCAAAATGAAGGGCTTTCCCAAGATCACACAACAGACTGGAATTCAGACCTCTCTCAATTTCTAATCTTAGGTTCTTTGTACTGAAACTTACGACCTCCAGGCCATCAAACCAGCACTCGTTTTTAGATTTTAAAAAGCAAAGCAAATAAAGACCCGATTTTGCCTAGACTAATGTACGTCTTTTCTTTTTCTTAATTTTGATCTACCTTGCTACCATGCTTCTCAACCTTCACACACTGTCCTCAATCTAACTCCGAAAATCTTGCTAATCACGGTCTATTTTCTTGCCAGGGCCTTTAACGTACGGTGCTCAGGAAAACGCAGCCCCTACTGAGGCGACGGTTCCAAGAGATGGCTCCCAGGATAGCTGCCCGGGAACCACGGCGAGGACCAGCAACTAATCCGACCGCAGAACTCGCAACCGAATCCACTGCTTTTCCTGACCGACCTGACTCTTCAACTGTTCACAAGTTTTTGTTTTTGTTCTTTTACTCAACTTAGGCTTTACCAACGTAACGCCACAACGAAACGACCGGGCCAACAGCCTTTTCACAATACGGATACCAAGAAACCCTCCGCCAAAGAAGCGCTAAGCGAAATTCTTGGGAATTTTCGGAAATGCCTGTACCTGGAATCCACAAGTCAAAATTACAACGAAAAGGGTAGCTTCAAAACACTGGGAGAGGTAACCGAGGCGACTACCAGGCGACGCGAGGGCTCAGCCCAGCCCGGCCCCCCGGCCTCTGCGAACACCTTCCTCCCGCGGCGCGGCGGCTCCGGCAAGCCGCGAAAAGCCACTCGGGAAGCCGCTCGCTCACCTCTGACCCCGGCCAAGATCTCGCGCGCCTACCAGTCCGCGGCGGGCACGCCACTCTCCCCTCCTCCCCCCGCCCACCTGGGCGGGACGCAGCCGCGCTGGGCCTCAGGACCGCGCCGCTGGCTCGGCCGGGACGCGACGCGCGGCCAATGGCCCCGCGCAGCAAGCCGCACGCTCGCCCCCACGCCCCCTCGCGGGCGTGTCGCAGCTCAACCGAAGGCCTGCTCCGCGCCTGCACTTCCGACGGGCGCGCTGGGCGGGGCGAGTTGGGGCCTGAGGGCGGAAGAGGTGGAGCTGAGGGGGCCGGGCGGCCCTGAGGAATCTGGGCCGGCGGCTGGCGTCGCCGGGGCGGGTCCCCTCAGAGCCCTTGGGGACTCGTGCCGCGAAGGGGGCGGCGCCCACAGGCTCCTTCGCTGCCAGGGCCTCCAGCTCCGTAGAATGCGAGGTAGGATGTGGCTATTTGGTGGGTAGGTGCCCTTTTGAATTTCTAGAGTGAAAGAAACCTGGAACGAGCGTTTGTTGCACAGCCCATCCGAATGGAAAGGGAACGCCGCTATTCCTTCAGTTACTAGTCCAAGCCGTTCAACCCCTCGTAGTATGTATCCCATGGCAGTGGGTTTAATGTGTAACAAATCCCAAAAAAACAAATAGAAGCAACCTCACTCAAGAGTTCTAACCATTCGGAAAGGGAATAACTAGCCGATATTACAATGTCTGATTGTCGTTCTGCACCTTTAAACAACTTTGGTTGTTGGTTGGGTGTAAACTTTATTCCTATTGAGGTGAAATTCACAGAACATAAAATGAGACACTTTAAGAGTCTAATTCAGTAGCATTTAGTACATTCAAGATGTGCAAATTCCAACTCTTAATTCCAGAACATTTTAATCATTAAGCATTTACTCTCCATTTTTCCCACTCTTAGGCCTTAGTAGACATCTAATACTTTCAGGCTTTCGTGACTTTACACAATGCGGATATTTCATAAAACATGGAATATGTGGCCTTTTTTGGTCTGTCTTCTCTCACACTTAGCATAATGTTTTCCAGGTCTATCCACCTTATGGTAAGTATCAGTACTTCATTTCGTTTTATGCCCTATATTCTGTTGCATTCTGTGTATATACCACAGTTTTATGTGTTGTGTATACCACACAGTTTTATGCGTTGGTCCGTTGTTGGCCATTTGGGTTATTTACACAATTGCACTATTGTGCTGCTGTGAATATTTGTTTGGAAGTATTTAGTGCCTGTTTTTAATTTGGGGGAAGGGTAATATACTGTAAAAGACAACCAGAGCCTGACATAGTTCAAGTGGTAAAAACAGATTTTTTTTAGGAACTATTGCAAAAGAAGGCAAGAGACCTCTGTATAGAACTGGGCTCAATTCCAAGTACACAGCATGAACAAGTAGTGATTTATAGCCAAGGAAGAGAGGTGGAGGGTAAGTGGATGGAAGTTTCTTAACATCTGGCTAAACTGGCATTCTGGCTAAACTGACTTGATGGGATTCTGACTGAAGGCAGATCAGGGTGATCAGACACCAAGGGTGGCGACTAAGAGTTTGATCAGATATGGAAGGTGATCAGATATCCAAGTGGATCCAGATACACAGTTCTCTGTAAATGGACTTAGGTTTCTTGCTACAACTGGTTGATAAATGTCCCACACGGTGGACTAGAGTCATGGAGAGAGCTTGTCATTGATTCACTTTGAGTTAGTTTTTGTATATGTTGTGTATTAGGGATTCATTTCATTCTTTTGCATGTTGTCCCAGAACCATTTGTTGAAAACACTATTCTTACTCCCAATGAATTGTCTTGATGTCCATAGCAAAAATCAATTTGCCATACACGTATGGGTTTGTTTCTGGACTCTTAATTCTAATCCATTGGTCTATATGTCCTGTATCAAAGTTTGTGTTACGCCACTTTGCTTTTATAAAAGACCTACATTAGTACCTGCTTTCATTAATTGAAAGAAATCTGAAAAGGATTTTTGCTTTTACAACAAAAGATTAAAAGACAAAAAAGTGTTCAGCATTTGTTTTATAGTGATCCTTTAGAGAGACAGCATGCACCCTGAGCCTCAAGGGTGGAACAACATTGGCAACTACATCTTGGTAACAAGCTGCTATAGCTTTACATGGTCTGTGAGCATCTGTGCTTAATCTTGATTTATGTTGTGCATCCATTAGCAAGATGTGTCTTAAAGTATTGGAAAAACCTGAGAAAGATTATTTTATGGGTCTGAGAATGTTTAAAAAAATTTCCATGTAAATTAATGTTAATTGCTTCTTCACTCTATGCCATTTCAGTTTATAAAAGTTTTCATAGGAGCTCTCTTTTTGGATAGCAGGAGGAAATCTGTACCACAGTTTTCATTACTGTAGCTTTGGAGTAAGTTTTGAAATGGGGAAGTGTAAGTTTTCTAATTTTGTTGTTCTTTTCTAATATTGTTTTGGCTGTCTTGCACCTTTATATGAATTTGAGATTCATCTTTTCCATTTTTACAAATAGATCGCAAGGATTTTGAAAGGGATTGAATCAGTAGATCACTTTAACAAGTATTGCTGTGTGAAATTATTCAGTGTTCCAATTCATGAGGATGATGTCTTTTCATTTCTTTAGATCTTTAATTTCCTCCAGCAATGTTTTGTGGTTTTCAGTACACAAATTTTTCATCTCCTTAGTTAAATTCATTCCTAAGTGTTTCATCTTCTTACATGCTATCTTAGTCTGCTTATGTTACTATAACAACACCACACACGGTTGTCTTAAACAACAGAAATTTCTTTCTTATAGTTCTGGAGACTGGGAATCCAAGACCAAGGTGCTGGCCAGTTTGGTTTCTGGTATGAGGTTTCTTCCTGGCTTGTAGATAGTTGCCTTCTCACTTTGTCCTTCCTTAGTGGGAAAGGAGAGAAAGAAAGGGAGACAGAGTCTCCTTTTTTTTTTTTTAAAAAAAAAAAAAAAAGGATTTTACTTACTCATGAGAGAGAGAGGCAGAGACACAGGCAGAGGGAGAAGGAGGCTCCATGCAGGGAGCCCAGTGTGGGACCTGATCCCGGGACTCCAGGATCACGCCCTGAGTGGAAGGCAGGCACTAAACCAGTGAGCCACCCAGGCATCCCTATCCTTTCTTTTTTAATAAAGATTTGATTTGATTTGATTTTATATTTTATTTTATTTTATATTTTATTTATTTTATTTTATTTTATATTTTATTTTATTTTTTTATTTATTTTTTTATATTTGACAGAGAGAGAAAGAATGCAAGCAGGGGAACCAGTGAAAAGAGAGGGAGAAGCAGGCTCCCTGCAGGGGGCTCAATCCCAGGACCCTGGGATCATGACCTGAACTGAAGGCAGATGCTTAAGGACTGAGCTACCCAGGTGCCCTTCTGTTATCTATTCTTATAAGGATACTAATCTATCAGATTAGAGCCCTACCCTCATGACCTCATTTAGACATAAATTACCTCTTTATAGGCTCTATTTCCAAAAACAATCACATTGGAGATTAGAGCTTCAACATATGGATTTTAGGGGGATATCATTTAGTCCATAGCAGATGGTATTATAAATGGAATTATCAATTTCCTTTTTAGATTATTCATTGTATTAAAAAAAAAACATGTTTCTGAGTGTTGATCTTGTACTCTGCAAATTTGCCAAATTTGTTTAATTAGCTCTAATAGTTGTGTGTGTTTATGTTCTTTAGAGTTTCTGTATATAGGATCATAGCATCTGTTAATTGAAATAGTTTTATTTCTTCCTTACAATCTGGATGCTTTTTATTTCTTTCCCTTGTCTAATTGCTTTGTCTAGGGTCATTCTTTCATTTTAAGGAATCGGCTTATGCAGTTGTTGAAGCTGGCAAGTCTGTGTTTGTAGGGCAGGGTGGGAGGCTGAAAACTAAGGCGGGACTTAATGTTGCAGCCTTGAGACAATTTGTTCTTCTGCAAGAAACCTCAGCTTTTGCTGTAAAGACCTTTGTATATTACCAAGGTTGATTGAAAAATGCCCACCCATATCATTAAGAGTAATATCCTTTACTTAGAATCAATCAATTGTAGATGAGTAACACATCTACAGAATTCTTTCACAGTAACACCCGGATTAGTGTTTGATTAAATAGGTGGGTAGCAAAGTTGACACATAAAACCATCACAACCAGAGAGGTAGTTTTATTAGTTCACAATTCTTTATTTGTTTTTTGTTTTTTTTGTTTTTTTTGTTTTTTTGTTTTGTTTTAGTTCACAATTCTTTAAATAAAATATTTCACTTTTCTCATGTCTTCAGCTTGGGTAGGATCTACTTCCCCAACCCTAGTGACTGCATTTTTCCATATAACTTGCTTTGGCCAATAGAATATGAGTGGATGTAGCATATGTCCATTAGTTAGGAAACTAGATGGGATCGTAGAGAGAAGGGAAAGACATGTATATTCTGAATCCTTTGGCTGTGTGTGTGTGTGTGTGTGTGTGTGTGTGTGTTTGTAGGCAATGATATAGTGTCTAGCTTGAAATGGCTCCTACTGGCAAAAGAAGCAATACATGGGGCACGAAGGACAAATAAAAAAATTTTTGACTGCAGTGGATTGAAAAACATTAAATATGTTTAAATACATGAATATTTAGCATTTCTTTAAAAAACTCTTGAAAAAACATACGGATTGCTACATACCAATTCATTATTCTGAAATTGATAAATAAAAGTTAAAAAACCAAAACAATTACCCTGCTTTTCCTACATAAACTGAAATATAGGGCAACCAAATTGACTGTGAAGAAAACTTTTTTATAGAAGAAGTCCAGTGAATAAATGAGGGAGGAATGAAATAATATTACCATTTTACAACCCATAAAAAGAAAATGTTTCTAAGAAATAATAAGTCCAATTCCATATGTAAGGAGCTCAGAAGTTGCTACTCCATCCTAACAATAAGTAAAAAATGAACAAAACTGAAAAAGCAATAACTCTTTTTGATCTGGAAGGGAAGTAAGGTCATAGGGCACACAGTTACCCCCCAGATAGAACTGGAGCAGCAACCTCCTGGAGCCAGTGCTGGGGTAGGGAAACCTGAACTGCAATTGATGAATTGCTGGAGGCTCAGTGTGGACAATTCTGACACTTAAAAACTCCAGGGGATCAGTCAGGAGGCAGCCCCCACACTTGTATATACTTCCAAGAACATTACCAGTTTTTCACAGTAAATATCAGAGAAAAATCTTGTGCTTCAGACAGGAAGAAAGGAAAGGAGCCATCTGAAAACAAACCAGAGAACTCTGTTCTCTTAGTAAAGCTTGCCCTCAGAGGAAACTAGTTAACCAGAGTCTAACTTGTTGGGGTTTTATCAGAGCTTAGATGATCTGCAGGGAAGGAAATAAAACTCTAACCCACTCTAACCATCCTGTCCCGCATATGAGAGGAGGAGGGAGGAG